TTTTCACAATATGACCATTTGTTTGCAACCAACGCCGTCCATTGACATTCATTGAAACTTCACTCTGCAAAGCTCAAATTTGAAGTGTAATTTCTAAACTGCGACTGTGCCTTCATTTTTAATACTTCAGAGACATACTATGCATCGAAATGTAGGTCTGGGTCTTGTGATTCTCACAATATAAAGCTCTTCGGTGTAGAATTTATAGTTTTTAAAATACGACCGTTTGAAGATGGCAACCGCCAAAATACTCTGACCTGTGTCAGGCTGCAGCAGCAAGTGATGTCATAGACAGGGCCTTTTGAGCACCTGCTAATGTTTTTATAAATATATGGTTTAATGTAACTGTGCAACAACGTTGCAATTAAATGTGCTATATAAATGATAAGTTACTCCGCCCACTCCAGTTGTAGACTACTGGTGGAGGTAAGAACACTTCACACAATTTCCCCAGAAATTGTAGCTTTTCTAGTTCCATTAAATCTGCTGATGTATGAAGACCTTGAGTGACTGGACTACTTTGCTGTTACTATTCTTCAATAAAATACTTTTTCAATCCACTCCTAAAAAAATAGCAGCTGTTCATATCTCTATGCCCTCCCTTTCCCTCTCATAAATAACATTTTGTTTATTGTCATGTATTTTGAAATTCCCATTTCTTTGTAATCTGAAAAGGGATCATCATTGGTGGTGGTGTGGTGTAGATGTAGCACTGGTGTATTTTTTTATATTTTTTTTATAACAGAAACAGACCTCTCTCAATGCCCTCTTGCGAGTCAAAGCAGCAGCCCGCGCATGTTCCTAGATTAGAAATGTCATTGCATAGTCAGATGCCAGAATACGAGAGGGAGCAGAGATAATGAGGTGTTGACAGACGAGACACAGACAGATGACCAATGGCTGCATGCAGTTATGGGCTGGTTAGGGAGATTAAAAGGTCTCTCTTGTTTGGCCAAGCTTTGTTAATTTGTGTCTCTGCCATCTATCTTCGATATGCATAGCATGCTGGCGTCAAATATGCACAGAATTAACATTAGCCTGCCCGGAACTCCCGGAGGTGTAGCAGAGTGAAACACTGCACATGCAGACTCCACGCACCATGACCACATGAAGTTACTGGCGTGGTTATGGTGTTGAGAATAAAACTTTAATTAACCTAAGGTGGGATTTAAAAGACACAATCAAGGCAACAACACTACATTTATAGCTTTTGGATAAAATATTTAGCTGTACTTTTTTTTTTTCTTCCAAAAAATAAATAAAATGTGTCAGGATTCTGCCCTAAAACCGTGCCTCCTCTGTTCCATCTACATCATTTTACACTACTCCTTGCAAGTTTCTTAGTAGCAGCTCCGTGATGTCACAGCTTGATTTCTCTCTCACCCTCCTAAACTGCAGTGTTCATGCCATCATAAAACACAACAAACATTTCTGGAGCTATAGGTCATTTAACAACTTCTGAAAGTAAAAAGCTGATAATTATGCTGCAATTTCTATAAAGTTCTGCTACGCTAATAAACCCAGGGAAAGTCAGCACTTGGAACTGTGTCATAGAAAGTTATTGGAGTTATCCTGACTTGATGATCAGCTCCTTGCCTGGGTCAGGCTAGTCAGTAGAACTTTAAAACTTGTGAATTTATTGCAAATTCAGTAACCTCAAATCTTTGTTTATAGCTTTTACTTTGGATCGGTTATGTCAACATAATTTTTTTTTCCTAACATAAACTTGATTCCTCACTACTCCAATAGAATTTTTTTTTATATACTGAACAATAAATTTTTTTTATATATATATATATATATATATATATATATATATATATTTTTTTTTTTTTTTAATTGCAGGGAGCGCTGCCCTTATGGAGTGTATATTTGAGGAGTCCGTAACATTTTGATAGATTACTCTGTAACTGGTGCGTAACAGAGTAATACAGAGTATATTCTTGGTAGGGTAATCACATCCACTTGTATTTACTAGCCTTAACATTGACTTGGATAACAGAGACATCTATTAATCACATGCCAATTCAGGTTAAATTTAAGGGTGTGCACTAATGCACTTTAATATCCCTTAGGGGGGAAAGGCTATGATCGACTGATTAATATATACATTTTTTTGCGTGTCTGACTCACTTTAACCCCCTTAGAACAAAACTGCTCCCTATATGTACAGTTTAGGGAATGAATAGATTCCCAGAATGCTTCATTCTCCAATTTCCAAGCCTGTCTGTTGTTTTGCAAACAGATATGGTGGGGGGCGAAAGCCATGCTAGTCTGCACCTGTCAGTCTCAATATACGTTTAAAGTCCATCCACAAGTCTACAATCTGATCCATACGTGGAGATATATATAATCACTAAACAAGTGAATGAGTAGCAGGCAAACTATTACGGATTCTGTCATATTTCTACAGCAATTAAATTCTCAAATACACAGCTGTACTATGTTTTCAAATGTGTTTAGAAAGAGCGACCATGCCCCACACAGCAGTTTCTATATCCATGGACTGAGCGTGTTCACCCATTGGAAAGTGTCCCGCATGGATCTGGTTCAATTTTGATAATCTCTGACAGCTGACAAGCTCCATAAAGGCAAAACTGTGCATCCCATAACTGTGCATTCATTCCGTCAGATTCTAACCTGTGCACCAGCATGAAAAACGGTTTGATAAAACAAGAAACTGTTACTAAGGGAGCCTACGCAAACGTGGGTTTAGAAATATAAAAAAGTGAATGCAGCCGGGCGTTATTTGCATATTCAGTATGGCATTCTGGGAAAATAAACGTAACAGAAAGTGAAATCATCTCATGCAGTGATTAAATCCCTAAATTAGAAGGGGCAGAATATTCCACAACTTATAGACAGCCTGTCTCCCCCTCCAGCAGCAGCACCGGGTCCAGGGAGAGGAGCATACCACCCCCTCTTCACAGCTGGGCTTCAACCAGACTACTCCAGCTGAAGTGCTGGCACCAGGGCAGAGTATCGCTGGTCTCTGCCCACTCAGCAACCCACAGATCCGGAGTACCCTTACCCCACACAGCCGTGATGGAGCCCCTGGACAAAGACTGGCAGCACGTTTCCCCAGGTGCAGTAACTTTTCATTGTGGGTGGGCTGCACTACTGACTATGTTTTGTGGGTGGGTTGCTGGACTAACCAAGGCACTGACCGACAGGAGGCCAGATACCTTGTTAGTCTTTTTGGGAAAGGGGAGAAATGTGGCGGAACCAGCCTCGCCACTGGGCATTGGAGAAGACTGATTGCCAGCCTCCTGCCCTGTGACTATGGCCCCATGTTGAAATGCTTGATTTTCCCCTGCAAAGACCCGAAAGCCGGGTCATTCGGTAGTCTTCCATCTCGTTCCCTAGGGGAGTGTCCACCAGGTGGGAGACCTGCATAAAAGCCAGGCAGATAGCCCCAGTAAATCAGATTCTGCTTTACCCACAAAACGAAGTGTTGTCTCGTTATTGGGGTAATTGGATTGTATGCTGTTACAGTGCGACTGCCAGGAGTTTAAGCTGTTCGCATGTTTTTTCCTGTTCGGTTGTTTCCAGCATACATATGGTTCCCGTTCAGGAGTTGGTGAATTTGTGTGTTTCCGGTTCGGGAGTTGGTGAATTTGTTTGTTTCCTGTTTGGGAGTTTGAGTATTCATGTGTTTGCAATTCGGGAGATTGGTGCTTGCAGCAGCTGTTCGTGTATTTAAAAAGGGAATGTAGCGTAAACGGTTTTTAACCTCTTGTGTGCAAAACAGTCCGTTACAGACTCTCCTCCTCCTTTGGCCGTCATCGGCTGAATGCGCATGCACGGAAAGAGCCGCACGCGCATTCAGCCAGTCCATAGGAAAGCATTTCTCAATGCTTTCCTATGGACACTGGCGTCTTCTCACTGTGAAAATCACAGTGGGGAGTGCCTCTAGCGGCTGTCAATGAGACATCCACTAGAGGCTGGTTTAACCCATTTGTAAACATAGCAGTTTCTCTGAAACTGCTATGTTTACAGCAGGCAGGGTTAATCCTAGATGGACCTGGCACCCAGACCACTTCATTAAGCTGAAGTGGTCTGGGTGCCTATAGTGGTCCTTTAACAAATGGAGATTTGGTATCAGATATTACTGTAGGTGAAAGTTTAGGATCCAGTGATCATCAGTCAGTGTGGTTAAATATAATATAAGTCACACCACACACAAACCAAAGTTTTAGACTTTAGAAAAACAGACTAAAATTAGAATATGTGTAAAGGAGTCATTATCAGACTGGAGCAATTTAAATGGAGTCCAAGAGAAATGGGATTATTTAAAAGTTGCATTACTGAAGGCAACAGAAAATTGCATTAGGCTAGTCATTAAAAGCAGATGTGGCCAAAATAGTAAAAAACAAAAAGTTAGCATTTAGTAATTATAAAAAAAAAAAAAAAGTGAGGACGATCTATAAGATTAGGCAGAAAGAGGCTAAGCAAGTTATAAGAGCTTCCAAATCACATGGAGGTAATGGGACTGTAATGGGACCAACAGAGGGGATGGGGGAGGGAGGTAATAGGACCAACAGAGGGGATGGGGGAGGGGAATAATGGGACCAACAGAGGGGATGGGGAATAATGGGACCAACATCAGGGGATGGGGCAAGGAGGTAATGGGACTAACAGAGGGGATGGGGCAAGGAGGTAATGGGACTAACAGAGGGGATGGGGCAAGGAGGTAATGGGACTAACAGAGGGGATAGGGCAGAGAGGTAATGGGACTAACAGAAGGGATGTGGGATAGAGGTAATGGGACTAATAGATGGGATGGTGGAGGAAGTTAATGGGACTTACAGAGGGGATGGGGGACAGAGGTAATGGGACTAAGAGGAGATTGGGGAGGGAGGTAATAAGACTAAGAGGGGATGGGGCAGGGAGGTAATGGGACTAACAGAGGGGATGGGGAGGGAAGTAATACGACTAATGGAGGGTCTGGGAGAAGAGAGGTAATGGGATTAATTGAGGGGCTCGGGAAGGGAATGGGGTACATGGATGGGCTGGGGGAAGGAGGAAATGATACACATAAGAGTGGCTGGGGGTGGGGAATGAGACACATGAGGGTGAGACACATGGAGTGGCTAAAAAGGGGGATCTAACACCTGACGGGTGTGGGGTCCAGGGCAATCTTCACACCGTGGCCCTGAGGTTTCTGGTTACGCCTCTGTCCTAAGGCCTCTCTTCTAGACGTAATTTAAGGTCACGTGGTTAACCCTATTGCGCCTGTAACATCACAGAGAATCTGTGGAGGGACTGCAGTCTCCAACGTGCACTTCGAAATTTAAAGATTTTAATATTATGTTTATCTCAATATTAACAATATATATATTATATATAGTAAAATTTAATCTAGAACTCCACTCCTCTTGCCCTGTCTGCAACTGTGCCCCTCCATCTTCGTTCCCCATCAATCATTTTTATAAACTCCTTTGTACCGGCTAACCCTAGGTCTCCTAACCCCAATGGTCAGTCTAAGAGTAACCCTAAAACAAACAGTCTCCTCCTGTTTCTTTACCAATTTCCTTGGAAAGTGCCTGGTCACTGGTGGTCTGCGATTTATTTTTTTAGAAAATTCCCCCCTCTCACACTCTCTCATGCATTTTAAATTAAAGTTTTCTTTATCCATTAGAGTATTGTCTCCCTGCTCTGTTACATATAGAAAGCATTTCCTTCTCTACTATAATTTGGAGTCCTCATTCCCCTACATTGTCCATTGTATGACTGTCTCTCGTAATATTTAGAAATGAGTCCAGTTATTCTCCTAGACTGCCTGGTTTGTCTTACTCATGAATTAGAAAGCAGCCCTCTCTTTTTCCTGATTGCCCTGTCTGTCTCTCTCATGTGATTTAGAAAGCAGCCCTCTCTTTCTCCTAGATTGCCCTGTCTGTCTCTCTCATGTGATTTAGAAAGCAGCCCTCTCTTTCTCCTAGACTGCCCGGTCTGTCTCTCTCATGTGATTTAGAAAGCAGCCCTCTCTTTCTCTCAGATTGCCCTATCTGTCTCTCTCGTGTGATTTAGAAAGCAGCCCTCTCTTTCTCCTAGACTGCCCTGTCTGTCTCCTTCATGTGATTTAGAAAGCAGCCCTCTCTTTCTCCTAGATTGCCCTGTCTGTCTCTCTCGTGTGATTTAGAAAGCAGCCCTCTCTTTCTCCTAGATTGCCCTATCTGTCTCTCTCGTGTGATTTAGAAAGCAGCCCTCTCTTTCTCTCAGATTGCCCTATCTGTCTCCCTCATGTGATTTAGAAAGCAGCCCTCTCTTTCTCCTAGATTGCCCTATCTGTCTCTCTCGTGTGATTTAGAAAGCAGCCCTCTCTTTCTCCTAGACTGCCCTGTCTGTCTCTCTCATGTGATTTAGAAAGCAGCCCTCTCTTTCTCCTAGACTGCCCGGTCTGTCTCTCTCATGTGATTTAGAAAGCAGCCCTCTCTTTCTCTCAGATTGCCCTATCTGTCTCTCTCGTGTGATTTAGAAAGCAGCCCTCTCTTTCTCCTAGACTGCCCTGTCTGTCTCTCTCATGTGATTTAGAAAGCAGCCCTCTCTTTCTCCTAGACTGCCTTGTCTGTCTCTCTCATGTGATTTAGAAAGCAGCCCTCTCTTTCTCCTAGATTGCCCTGTCTGTCTCTCTCATATGATTTAGAAATGAACCCTCTCTTTCTCCTAGATTACCCTGTCTGTCTCTCTCATGTGATTTAGAAAGCAGCCCTCTCTTTCTCCTAGACTGCCTGGTCCATCTCTCTCATATGATTTAGAAATGAGCCCTCTATTTCTCCTAGATTGCCCTGTCTGTCTCTTTCTGTGATTTAGAAGGGAGCCCTCTCTTTCCACTGGAATGTCCAGTCTCCCCCTGTCTCTCAGCAGTTGGTGTGTTTGTTGCCTGCGGTGAGGGGGGAAGGAATTTCTCCCCCTTTGCTGTCCATACGTCACAGATGATGTGTCCTGTTTCTCCTCCTGCCAGTTTACAGCTCTCACTCATCCTCTCTTTCTGCTCATTTATTTCCTCCATCCTGCAGTCTCCTCTGTGTAGTCTCCCCTCCCACCATCTCTCCCTCACATCCTCCCCTACTCCCTCCTCTCTGCAGTGCTCAGAACAGCAGAGCAATGAACCCATTACTGGCTCCTAATCTGCTTCTCCTTTCCTCAGACCCCCCTCTTCAATCAGGGGACAGTCCCCCATCACCATCCCAGTCCTCACTGCTCCACGGGGCCCCATATGCTCAGAGTGGTGGGGGGGCTTCGGCTCTACGAAATGACTTTGGATCCAATATCAGTGTCTTGAAGACCCTCAATCTACGATTTCGTTGTTTCTTGGCCAAGGTGCATGAACTAGAACGGAGGAACCGTTCGTTGGAGAGAGCGCTAGAGAGAGCGCAAGGGGCGGGACCAATAACCAGGGACCAGGCCGTCCAGACTGGCTTCGTAGGGCCAATCCTACCCCCACCTTTGTTGGGGCTCACCAAGCCCTCCTCTACACCACCCCAACAGTCTTGGGTATACGGGCCCCGCAGGCTGGTGACAAGACCCGATGTCGGTTCCATTGGCGTAGGAGGTGGAGCCTATTGGGGTCATGCTGATGGAGTAGGAGTTCAGATTGATACCATCACACCTGAAATTCGGGCACTTTATAACGTACTGGGAAAAGTGAAGAGAGAGCGTGATGCGTACAAGCAGAGGTGAGATTTTTGGTGCAGATTCTCTGCAAACTTGAGGTCATATGTTCAAATGCAGTAATGCCATAGCTCTGTGTACACGCACATTGACCCGGTACAGGCAGGAATTATATAGATATGTACACATGCTATATATTATTAAGCTTAATGTGCACATTCATTGCCACAAGTACACTATATAATAAAGCTCTGTATACACAGAGTGACATAATACGGACATCTTGTAGTTATTATCATCATTATTGGCATTTATAGAGCGCCAACAAATTACGTAGTGCTTTATAATATTATAGAAGGGGAAGATATCCTAACTGTATATGTACCTGTATATACCGTGATACTCTGTGGACACACAGATCTCATACATGTATATATTGTGATGCTCTGTGTATACACGCCAATATAATGCATGTATATATTGCAAATATCTATGGAAAAAGACTCTGACACCTAACATGCAGTTTATATCAATGTGGCCATGCGTGCCTGTATATGTAGTTTATATAAAGTACAAGTAAGAATTTTAAGAACAAGCAGATTTGTTGTAAAACAGATTTATTTTATAAGTGATGAGCTATTTTAGTCCAGTGATACAATAATGGAGTATAGATTTAGCTATGTAATTCTTTTCTACAGTAAATGGAGCAGTGAGATTTCAGGAAGTGATTCCGTTATAATGTTTAAAGCTTGACCAACGAAGTAACTCCCTAAAACTCATTGTTACCCAATAACAAGTTATCACGACAGTCTGTATGTTATCATACATTCTGAATCCCCAATAATTCTCACTTTAGTAACTAACCGTGAGAGAGAGCTAGTCCCATAACACGTTATCACAGAGAGAGCTAGTCCCATAACACGTTATCACAGAGAGAGCTAGTCCCATAACACGTTATCACAGAGAGAGCTAGTCCCATATGTTTTTGCAGAGAGTGCTAATCCCATATGTTATTTAAAAATAATATCAGGAAGTATTACTTTACTGAGAGGGTAGTGGATGCATGGAATAGCCTTCCAGCTGAAGTGGTAGAGGTTAACACAGTGAAGAAGTTCGAACATGCGTGGGATAGGCATAAGGCTATCCTAGCTATAAGATAAGGCCAGGGACTAATGAAAGTATTAGAAAATTGGGCAGACTAGATGGGACAAATGGTTATCTGCCGTCACATTCTATAACAAGTTATCACAGAGAGAGCTAGTCCCATATGTTATCACAGAGAGAGCTAGTCCCATATGTTATCACAGAGAGAGCTAGTCCCATAACACATTATCACAGAGAGAGCTAGTCCCATATGTTATTACAGAGAGAGCTAGTCCCATATGTTATTACAGAGAGAGCTAGTCCCATATGTTATTACAGAGAGAGCTAGTCCCATATGATATTACAGAGAGAGCTAGTCCCATATGATATTACAGAGAGAGCTAGTCCCATATGTTATTGCAGAGAGAGCTAGTCCCATATGATATTACAGAGAGAGCTAGTCCCATATGTTATCACAGAGAGAGCTAGTCCCATATGTTATTACAGAGAGAGCTAGTCCCATATGATATTACAGAGAGAGCTAGTCCCATATGATATTACAGAGAGAGCTAGTCCCATATGTTATTGCAGAGAGTGCTAGTCCCATAACACATTATCACAGAGAGTGCTAGTCCCATAACACATTATCACAGAGAGACCTAGTCCCATAGAGAGAGCTAGTCCAATAACAAATTATCACATAGACTGCCAGCCCAATAACAAGTCCAGGAGATTGAGAGACATTGAAAAGAGACAGTGATGCTCCACTATATGTATTTTAATTACTTGAAAATACATAACACCTGTTACAATGAATAAAACAAAAATAAACTAAAAGGACTTTGAAAACCGTGCTAAGCAACTACTTGGGGAAGAAGGATAGAGAAGAACCGTTTACGGAAGGATTGGAGCTGCTCAGCCTTCCACGTTCATTCTATATATATTGTATGGATGCAGAACTGATAAATGATAAGCACAGGTGTGCTGTTATAGTAGCGGGCTGGTGTAAACGTTCTAATCTATTGGCAGGGAAAGTTCTGGAATTCTTAGAATGTATGGGGGAGACCATTCTAACATTATAACATGTAAAACTTTGTAGAAGATTTCGAACCAAATGCATGGGCAAATTTTATAATAAATGGAAGGAGACTGGTGGTAGTTCTGTTACTTTTATTCGGAGATGCTTTGTTACGGTTACAATGAATGGAAGGATTGCTTTAAATAAAAAAAAAAATTTTTTTTTTTTAAATAAGCTTGATGTGATGACTTATTGCACAGCACTACAGAATATGACGGAGCTTTATAAATACTAATAATAAATAATGACCAATTGCTAGAGCCGGTTTTCCTCTCTGAGAGGAGTCAGGTAACCGTTCCACCAGAGGCCCAACCTGGAGGCTGCAGCTGAGACCATTTGTATTGTTTTGATTAAAGTGTTTAAAGGTAGCATCACTGAGAAAGGAGCTACATTTAAATCTCCCGCTCAGGCACACACAGCCTTAAGGCTCTATATGGATTATTACCATATATCCATCTCCATAAGGCTGGGAGACTGCACAGTGCTGGAAACCTGTAAGTCCCTAGGTAGAATTCCTTGTTTGCCCACTGGGTGTCATGCATTCATTTTATAAACCATTTGTAAAAACAACCTAATTTTAAACAAGTAAAAATGTAAAAAAAAAAAAGTCTTTCATTGGAGGTGTTCCTTTTTTATTTCACATTACTGTCCCCCTTGATTTTCTTTAAAAAAAAATAATAATAATAATTTTCATCCTTGCTGAAGCCCAATTCTCTACCAGTTAAGTGATAAACCCCGATATCTTTTGACCAGTCAGATCTTTCTTGTAGAAGCACAACAAGGACATGCGGTGCATATGCAGCGGTCTCATAGAGCAGCACTGGATGCACACGTTGACACCAGACGTCATATAGCCTATAGACTGTAAGCTTGTTTGTGCAGGGTCCTCTTCAACTTATTGTTCCTGTACGTTTTTTGTAATTGTGCTATTTATAGATAAATCCCCCCTCTTATAATATTGTAAAGCGCTATGGAATCTGTTGGCGCTTTATAAATGGAAATAATAACATAGAACCAATTATGGAGTATTAAAAGTATCTAAGTAGTGATTTTGGTGCTTAGATACTTTAATACTCCTGTAGGTATTGTAACCATAATCACAGAACCAACATTCACAAAAACATCAAATGACTTCTCTAAAACAGCCACACCTATCACTTCTAGTCATTTAGAGATATTATCCATTCTCAGCGACTTCTCTCTGAAAAACACCAGGGAACCAAAAAAACAAAACAAACACATTTTTTTTTCTCTCTCTCTCAGCACTTCCACTCAAACAAAGTTACAGTACCCTTCTGTTACACACATCAAAGTAAAAAAGTAATTATTTTTGTTACGAGTCTGGTGGTTCTAATTCTTTAGTAACTTAATTCAATTTTATGAGTTGAATACATTTGGGTTAGTTTTTCTTTTTGTTTGTTTGTTTGTGTCACTACTGCATTTCAAGCACATTTTTATTTTATTGAAGGTGATGTTAATGGAATGAACTTGGGTTCTTCTTATCATACTGTCCTTTTTAGACCCAGGATTGGTTAGTGGGACTATTTTTTCCCATGCACCTTCTTTGTGGCTGGGGGAAGGCATTGGGGAACACAGTTGCTTTTTTTAGCATGTAATGTTTGCCCAAATATATACAGTTTTATAACGCTAGTGCGGCTCATGCTTGAAAAAGGTCCAATATTGGCAGTGGCACTGAACAAGCACATTTCATTGGCGCAATATGAATACAATTCAATAGAAGATATTTGGGAGATCCAGATTTTAGGCTGGACATGGGTTCGTGTGTGAGTACATACACATTTAGCTTCAAGTTTGTTTTTGTTTTTTTATAATTAATTTCCTCAATAAAAAGGTTAAACTATTTAAAGGGACACTATAACAAGTTCATCTCATTGAATTGGGCTCATTAGCCATTGGCGAGTGAAAACGTTGCCCTGTCGAGTAGAAATTTGCCCTTGGTGAGTATGTCATGTGTCATGAATTCTCCATGTTAGCAGTGGTGAGTAACTCAAGGCCTGATTATTAGCGTTAGAGGTGAAATTTTAAGCCATGGTTATAGGGCCTGGAGTCGTCTGGTACTGCCCCCCATCCAGCATTTAAACTATTTGGATACCAGTTTAGCACTAAATAAGGGTCTATGGCCACCCACAGCCTGGCACACATTTCCTTCTTACCATACCAATTCATATCAGCAATGGGCTCTGTGATAGGCTGGTATGATTGGTTGACACTCTCAGCCAATCACAGCTGCCCTTTGCTGCTCAGCCTAGTGTCCCTCATTATAGTGAGAAGCACAGAGAGGATAATGAGGAAGCACAAAAGGTTAAACGCTGAATGGATGGACAGCGCCAGAGAACTCCAGACCCTAATTGAATGAGATAAAGCAGTTACAGTGGTTACAGTGTCTCTAACATTTTTTTTGTCTTTAATGAATAGCAGCAGATAAACTGAGCTCAGATAGTTAGTAAAACCCCAGCCAGATTTCTCACCTGCAGCTCTATGTCACCACTAGACTCTGTAGGGGAGCCCTGGCCTAATTATAATAGAGGTTATGTAGAAAAAGCGTTGCGTCATTTTTGTGTAGGCCCTTTTTTTTTGTGCTTTACTTTTTTGCACCAAAATATTAATTGCGGCACCGCTTGAATCATTTTATTTTCTTGTTTCAATTCGGTTCTTGTTTTTAGTTCACAAATGTGTCACTATTAATGAATAAAAGAGGAAGTGGAAAAGTGTGACGCTTTTTTTTTTTCTGCTTCAAAATATTTTTTTCCACAACGTCAGAGAAGTGAATTCCTGTGACAGGTTAGCTGCTTTCACAGTCTTTATCTTTGTTAAAGAAATCAAGAAATCTTTCAAATTGCAAGTCTATGGTAAAATGATCGGGGCTGGGGGAACAAAAGTCTGAAAGGAATAAAAAAGTATCGGAAAGACAAATTAATACATTAAAGAAAATTCGAGAGAGAAAAAAAAAGTCAATAATGTATGTATAATATGGAATGACCGTTTTATACATAAGAACATGGTGTAAGTGCACATAAAGGACGCTAACATCATAGTGAACGTGAGAATTTTTATACATAACCCCCAATGTACATGGAGTACACAGCGTTCTCATGCCCAGCTGACGCCACCATGTCTTCTATAGCTCAATCAGTCTCAACAAGCCCGATGTACTCTGCTCCTTATGTTATTGTCTATGGTCTATGCCTTTTTTCTTGTGCATTATTGAATTAAGTTCTGTAACTTACTATAAGACACCACCATTGTGTATATGTGCCCAAAGGCATTTACTAGCTTCTGGGTTACATTTTATGCCTTCTGAAATTTGGATTGTGCGGAGGATTAGCTTCCCACCCTGGACAGCAAAGCCACTTATGGCCTAGGACTCACCCACGTGTGGCTGTAGCTGTTAGGAACTCACCGGCCTCATCCAGTTCCTCCAGGTTTGCTTTTAGCTGTACCCACTATTTATGTATACTCTGCTATATAATACGGTAAAAGTATGATGTGATTACACACCTGGTTCTCCTCATCTTACTATTCAATGTCTTTACACACTCTACTAGGTGCATAGACAATTGGCATTTAATAAATAATAATAATAATAAAAAAAGTATTTAACCAGGAAAGGTACATTGAAATTACTATTGTTTCCAAGTACGTCCTGGGGATGTTACCTTAGCCCAACATCCAGGGGTTGTTACTATATAAGCGAATATTCATCCTTTGTTTCGCACATTTAGTGTGCTTTTAGCATGCTTTTTACCCATACGTCAATTCCCAGGTCTTGTAACTTCTGTGCCATTGAATGTGTGCCCATACTACATTTATAGATAGAAAATGTCCAGGCACTCCATAAGCTTCAAGAACATTTATTGGAACAAACAGAGCACTGCAACGTTTTGACCCACACTTGGGTCTTTGCAGGGGCGTACCTGGAGCATTTGGCACCCGAAACGGATCTTATATTTGGCATCCCGCCTCCCCCCCCCATCATTTTAAAATGTAAAAAAAACAAAAAACACACAATTATTTTTTTTTAAATGAATTTAGCATTGAGCAGTGTTTGCATTTTATTTGATCTATTTAGCACTGAGCAGTGTTTGTGTGTAGTGTTGGCATTTGAATGCAGGCGTGCATTTTTGTGTAGTGTGTTTTTTTAATATTTGGTGTGTTTTTACGTAGTGTTCATATTTGGATGCAGATGTGTATTTGTGTGTAGTGTTGGCGAAATGCTGAGATTTATGCACATATACACAAATACACACGCACACTGGCACACATGCAGATACATAGACACACAGATGGACACACTGGCACAAACAGATACACAGACACACAGGTATACACATGCAGATACATAGAAACACAGTCATGCACAGATACAGACAAAACCCAGATAGATACAAACACACACACTTACACACATGTACAGAGACACATAGGCACAGACACACATACAGATACAATGACACACAGATACAAACACAGACACACAGGCACAGATACATAACACAGGTATAAGTGTGTGTGTTTATTGTAGGAGTCTCCACATTAAGCAGCATGTCCTCTGCTCTCGCAATCCGCGAGAGCGTTGCAGCAGGTTGCCATAGCAACGCTCTCGCGGATCGTGAGAACAGAGGACATGCTGCTGCTGGATGTGGAGACTCCTGCAAGCGGCATGAAAATGCACCCTGGGCACCCCCCTAGTGAGTGGCACCCGAAGTGGACCTCCCCCTCCGCCCCCACCCCTTAGTACGCCACTGAGTCTTTGTCAAATATAGATTTGCCATGCCTTTTTCCAGTGCCTTGGCTCCCTCTGTCTCCCCACCTCCCATGACTGCAGGGCAACCTTTTACATGCATTTTCATAAATATGACAAAATTATAACTGCCCCTGAAACCATGGTGGTGACAAAAAAACTGCAATGTTTATGTTACAGGGTTGAAAGGACAGGGACACTGTCAATTTGGGTTTCTCCAGAACCCTGCTCCTTCTAAGAATATCTCTACCACCATCTGATTAACCCGGAATAAATCTTTCTAAACTACAAAGCATCCTCGACAAATAGTCCCCTGATAGCATTACTGTAATGCGGGGCAGTGGATTTGTGGCCTGTTAATGGGCTGCTTGTCTGAGTGATGATTGCACAGCCAGTGGATCCTGACATTTTATATTGTTTTATGTTATTACAGATGGGAAGAGGAGTACACGGCACGTGTTCAGCTCCAGCAAAGAGTCTCTGAACTGGATGAGGTAAGCAGTATATGTATATTTTCTGTAACTGCCTGTCTGTCATACGGTCTCTGTTATACAGTCTGTCTCGCTCTATTCACCGGTCATACTGTCTGCCTGACTGTCAATCATACTGTCTGTTCCTCTGCCTTTATCATAACGTGTCTGTCATACTGCCGGTGTCATTACCTCTCCATCATACGGTCTGTCAGTCACCCTGCCTGTGTCCTTACCTGTCCGTCATACTGCTTGTATCATTATCTGTCCTTCATACTGTCGGTCACTCTGCCTGTAGCTATACCGGTCTGTCATACTGTGCCATTATCTGCCTGCGTCATTACATGTCCATCATCCTGTCTGTCAATCTATCTCACTAAGCCATCATATTGCACATCATCCTCTTTCTCACTCATTGTACATTACACTGTCTGTTATTCCGTCTCTTGCTGTACACGTCTGTTTCTGTCTGTCAGTGTCAGAATAGTTTGCCATACGTTGTGATTAAATTTCCTTTGTTGTATAGGGTATTATAGTAAATATCCTATCTATATATTTTATATCTTCAATACGATGCATAGGCAGTATCTCGTTTATATATGTAATGAATCTGTCTTAACAGGAGGCCCAGGAATCAGCTCTCTATCAAGAAGAACTGGCTATGAAGATCAAACAGCTGAAGGCTGAACTTGTTGTCTTCAAAGGGTTAATGAGCAATGTGAGTCCTTTATGGGAGAGAAATGGAATATGAAAATACTATTTATTATTCATTGTGATACTCTGTAACAAGAAACCGATACACTCTATATATGTGACCTCTCTCTGCATGGGATAGGATAGGGTTAAATGCACTTGTGGGACAGGCAGAACAAAGGGAAAGATGAGATGAATAAAGTAGAGACAGAGGGAATGAAAAGGAATTGTAGAAGGCAGGGAAAAGAGGAAGCAGGGCGAAAGGGAAGAAGTTAGAAAGGTACATTTGGGAGGAAGGGAGTGACAAAGTGTGAAAGAAGGAATGCAGGAGATAAGAAAGGAGCATGACGTGGACAGAGGGGGAAAGAACATTAGAAAGGAGGAAAGAAAGAGGGGGGCATGGGATGGAGGAGAAAGGGAAGAAAGGGGAATGAAATGGAAAGCAGATGCTGATGAATGTGTAAGATGATGACAATGTCTCTTTCCTTTCTCCACCCCCCCCTCCGTTACGAAGTCTAATAATTGTCTCTTTCCAAACCGTTCCTTTGAATTTCTGCCCCTTGTATCCTCTCTTGATGTTGTCTGTCTCTTACTGCCTCTATCTGCAATCTCTGGTCCCCGCTCCCTGACGCTCAGTCTCTGGTCCCCGCTCCCTGACGCTCAGTCTCTGGTCCCCGCTCCCTGACGCTCAGTCTCTGGTCATCGCTCCCTGTCGCTCAGTCTCTGGTCCCCGCTCCCTGTCGCTCAGTCTCTGGTCATCGCTCCCTGTCGCTCAGTCTCTGGTCATCGCTCCCTGTCGCTCAGTCTCTGGTCATCGCTCCCTGTCGCTCAGTCTCTGGTCATCGCTCCCTGTCGCTCAGTCTCTGGTCATCGCTCCCTGACGCTCAGTCTCTGGTCATCGCTCCCTGACGCTCAGTCTCTGGTCCCCGCTCCCTGACGCTCAGTCTCTGGTCCCCGCTCCCTGACGCTCAGTCTCTGGTCCCCGCTCCCTGACGCTCAGTCTCTGGTCCCCGCTCCCTGACGCTCAGTCTCTGGTCTTCATGTCTTCCATTGTCTGTCCTTCATATCCTCTCATGCGGTCTTTGTCATTGATTTCTCTCTTGCTGTCTCTCTATTAGAACCTGACTGACCTGGACACCAAGATCCAGGAGAAGGCAATGAGAGTGGACATGGATATCTGTCGCCGGATTGATATCACAGCAAAGCTTTGTGATGTAGCTCAGCAGCGGAGCTGTGAGGACATGATCAACATGTTGCAGGTAAGTGTGAGATGGATTGAATGTATCAGTGCTTGGATTGTGGATGAATGTGCATGTATAGGAGGGTAAATGTATGCTAGTATGGTCAGTGTTGACAGTTTGGAGAATAAAATAGAGGTTTCCCAGGAGCTGATTCACCACAGACTCCATGCCGAGGGGTTGATTTGCATCTTTCCAAGCTTTTTATAGAATAGGGAAAACTGCTGCTTAATATATTTAAATTCTCTATCACTGTATGTTAGTGTATGGGGGGTAACACGCAGGGTTACTTCACACATAGCATTCAGTGGCAAGGAGGAGGCTTCAACATGTAACAAGGGTATGGGCAGGGTGGCATACTTACAGGGAGGATTACATAGAACAAAAGGCTACATTTACTACAAATATACAAATGGAACACACGTTACATAAATTCAATAGGGCTGTTAGATCCCAGAGCCTCCTGGAGACTTGATAAGTGACCATTCCTGAAATTCATCAAAGAGTATCACAATGTCCTGTATTGAGTGGGAGAGTCTGATTGTGTTGTAAATAGATCCAGTTGCCTCCTGAAACAATATGTCGGCTCTCTTGAATTGAGCTGTCAGAATTATTTAATTTCCTGAGACCTTATCGTAACTACAATAACATGCATATCTGTAGATATTAAAGGGACACTATAGGCACCAAAACAACTTTAGTGTAATGAACACTGGTGGCTGGTGAAGTTTTATGATGGTGAGGTGCCAGACTCCTCCCCCAGAATATTACTCCTCCCGATACAGTACAGAGATACTCATAGAATACAGAGAGCTGAGCACAATGCAGAGATACTCATACAATAAAACAAGCTGGGCACAACATAAAGATATCTATAAAATACATAGAGCTGAGTACAATACAGAGATAACCAAACCACAAACAGAAAACATAGAGATATAATACACAAAACTGGACACAACACATAGATACATATACAATACACAGAGCTGGATAGACTACAGGGATACCTATATAACAGGGATCTTTTAAAGCAGGGAATTGAGCTGTGAGACTGCAGGGGCATGATCTGACAGTACCATATCCACAAGTATGACATACCTCCCAACAGTCCCAGGTTCAGCGGTACAGAGCCTTATTGATGGTCCTGCTGATGGTCCTAGGTTTATGCTCTAGAGTCCCAATTCCAGATAGTTTTGATTGGCAGGTATGTGGTATATCGGTTCGATAGGCAGGTATGTGTGTGTGTCTGTACGATAGGTGGGTATGCCTGTGTCAGTTCGATGGGCAGGTTTGTGTGTGTGTGTCAGTTTGATGGGTAGGTGTGTGTCTGTTCAATAGGGCAGGTATGCGTGTGTCTAATCCAGGGATGCCCAAAAGGTAGATCTCCAAATGTTATAGTACTACTACTCCCTTGATGCAGTTTTCAAACATCTGGCGATCTAACTTTTTGGCACCCATGGTCTAATCCAGTGATCCCCAAGACAGTCCTAATAGACCACCAACTACCAGGTTTTGTCAGTATCTCCATTTGAATAAAAAAAAAAATGGAAATACATAAATCCTGAATTGTTGGTGGCCCAGGAGGACAGGGTTGGGGACCACTGGTCTAATCTATAGGGCAGGTGTATGTGTGTCTAATCTCATGGGCAGGTCTGTGTGTGACTATGTGTGTGTGATCTATAGGGCAGGTCTGAGTGTGTGTGTGTGTGTGTGTCTGAACTATAGGGCAGGTGTGTGTGCACGTCTGATCTATAGGGCAGGTCTGTGTGTGACTATGTGTGTCATCTATAGGGCAGGTCTGTGTGTGAATGTGTGTGTGTGTGTGTGTGTGTGTGTGTGTGAGTGATCTATAGGGCAGGTCTGTGTGTGAGTGTGATCCATAGGGCAGGTCTGTTTGTGACTGTGTGTGTGATATATAGGGCAGGTGAGATGGATTGAATGTATCAGTGCTTGGATTGTGGATGAATGATTGTGGATGGATATCCTGCAGGTCTGTGTGTGAATGTGTGTGTGTGAATGTGATGTATAGGGCAGGTCTGTGTGTGAATGTGTGAGTGTGATCTATAGGGCAGGTCTGTGTGTGATAAAACCAGAGAATAGGTGCGCACCTATTCTCTGATTTAATTGTATTTAAGTGTTTTTGGGCTATTACACAATATAGGTGCTGCTGTATTTAAAATTTCTTTTTACTAGTGTTTTTCCTATATTTGTAATTTTAAGCCCCAATTTTTCACTTGTTTGTATATGTGTGTTCTATAGGGCAGGTGTGTGTGTGTTCTATAGGGCAGGTGTGCAACCAATTTTGCTGTTGCAGGTAAATTGTTTAATGGCACAGGATGTCTCTAGTCTAGATAATCATTGGCCATCATCGCCCTCTAGTGGTGGTACTGCAGATTGCAGCTGTACAGGAGTATTCATTGTCCCGGTGAGATTTTCCATGAAGTGATCAGAAGTGGTATTTCTCCCAGCACATTGCTGGATCTGCTCCTATTCACATTGTTGGTTTATTTTACTGAATTCCAGGTTCCCCATGTTATGAGAGTTCCATAGGTGAAAGGGGTTCATATCTCACTACTGAACACGGACAAAACGCCTCTCAGTCTCCCCGCGCCATCATTATATTGAATGTCTCCTTGGATCATCCAAACCCTCTCCCTCTTTTTGTGCGTTAAAACCAATAGAGCTTTTTTGGAATGACGATGTAGCAATCTGTGTTTCCAAAGCGCATTGATATAAAGAAAAGGCTACATGATGTTTTCAGGATTTATATAGAAGAGATGTAGGACGACGATCTTTTTAGAGTTACTTGTCGTGTCTCGAGGAAAGATTTGTAGTTTTGCTTCCTCATCGATGGAGCAGAATGTAGACAAGAGCTAAACGGTTAATTTCCCTATCATATACCCAGTGAAAAGATTATTCACTAACATAAGAATTCAAAGCTAATCTCAAATTCAAGGTGAAAATAGCTGAACTGAAAAAATTCTCTAAGTCAATTATGGTTCTGGTTTGGCTGCTCTGACCTTAAAGGACCACTATAGGCACCCAGACCACTTCATCTTAATGAAGTGGTCTGGGTGCCAGGTCCAGCTAAGTTTAACCCTTTTTTCTATAAACATAGCAGTTTCAGAGAAGCTGCTATGTTTATAAATGGGTTAATCCAGCCTCTAGTGGCTGTCTCATTGACAGCCGTTAGAGGCGCATTAGCACTTCTCACTTTGAAAATCACAGTGAAAAGACACCAGCGTCCATAAGAAAGCATTGTGAATGCTTTCCTATGAGACTGGCTGAATGCGCGCACGGCTCTTGCCGCGCATGCGCATTCAGCCGAGGAGGAGGAGAGCTCCCCGCCAGGCGCTGGGGAAAGAGGTAAGTTTAACCCCTTCCACCCCCTAGAGCCCGGCAGGAGGGGGACCCTGAGGGTGGGGGCACCCTCAGGGCACTATAGTGCCAGGAAAATGAGTGTGTTTTCCTGGCACTATAGTGGTCCTTTAATTTTGAAATTCACTTGGAATTCTCACTTCAGTGGGAAACCCTGCCAAGAGTATTTACCAAAGTGGAAATTCAAAGGGAATTTCAAATGTAAGGCCAGAGCAACAAAACTGGAAGCAGGGCTGAGAATTTTCCTAGCTCGGCTATTTCCACCTTGAATTCCCACTTTCTTTCTCTCTCACCTAGACGGTTCACCTGTCCCCAATGAAAGTTTTGGGAAGAAGGAAGGAACGGAAAGCGGCTACTGATGACGAGCCATCGTTGTGTGAGAGCGACAGCGCGAGGGGAGGAGAGGAGGATGAGAGCACCGCGATGAGCATTAATGAGGAAATGCAACGAATGCTGAATCAGCTGTATGTACCCAACTATCCATACCTATACACCTCTATACTGCACTGTGCCCCCCTATACATAGGGCACCAGATCCATCATGTTTTCAGGGTTACATATAATGTAAAGTGTTGCCCTGCAGTATGTATAATGGATATCCTGCAGGATTCTTCATTGCCTATGTACTTAATCTTATACTCTTTCTGAATTCTACATACTACAGGGCTACCCGTTTCATGTGCTGCCAAACTATATGTACACGTGATGTATGTTCCAGCAAATATGGTGGATCTGGTAACCCTGACGATAAACCCAAAATATTGTAAACATGTCGTGTTTGGATTTGGTTTATAAGCAAGCTAATTAGACCTACCCTAGTCCCCAAATGGACCAGACCAAACATATTCCAACTATTCACGAAGAAACCATCTTACCCAGAGGTCAGCATCAAGATCTCAGACGTGTGAGAGACTCAGAGACTTTAGGAATCAAAGGCGATCAAAGAGAGAAGTAACATTTTAGATCAGGACAGATACAGACCAGACTGTTATGATGGCATGTACCAATTTGAGTACTTCAAGGGTTAAATGTTATTACTAATGTTATCAATACTTTAGACTTATTCTTTTGGTTTTGTTTGGTATTGTTATTTTTAGTGAGGGTAAATAAAGTAAATGTAGCATAAGGCATGCTGGGCTGTTTTCATGGTAATGGTTATATTACATATTCTCGGACCGCAATCTCTCACTGTCAATAGTGAATCTCTCCATTAACTCTCTCATATTTTGCTAAAGTTACCTGCGCTAAACTACACACTTATCCAGTGGTACACACCTCTATATAGCTTTATACAAAGCTCTACTGCAATACACAACGGTTTTAAAGTGCTACACACCAATATACTGAACTGCAGAGCCCTTACCAGCATTTCACACCCATATACACCGCTATACACCATTCATCCGTGCTGCACACACTTACACCGAATTGCCATTCCTATATTGCAGTACACAATCTTTATATAGTGCAACACACTAATATACTGAACTACACAGAATCCTACAGAGCATTTCACACATATTTACACACCCACGTACTGCACTTCAGAGCCTTAAACTTCGCAACACACAATTAAACTGTGTTTCATACCCATATACACATTCCTAGACTATAATACACAGCGATATCAATAACTATGGGACCCAGTAAGGCACGTCACACCCATATACTGAACTCCACACATTTATACAGTGCGCACACCCATATACTGAACTCCACACATTTATACAGCGCACACACCCATATACTGAATTCCACAAATCTATACAGCGCTACACAGCCATATACTGAACTCCACACATCTATACAGCGCTCATGGGCGTCCGCAGGAATTTTTCCAGGGGGGGGCATAATTGTAATGACATCCATGCTTGGTACCTTTTTGACGGTGTCATGAAAGGGAAGGGGCATAGCCATTATCACATAAAGCCAGGGTGACTAGCGTTTTCACAACTATGGTGTCAGGAATATATGTTTGTATTCCTGACACTATAGTGTGCCTTTAAGCAAATTAAAGGACATTTCTGGTCACCATAACAACTTCACCTAAATGAAAATGCTATGATGCCAGATAGCCCCTGGGTGCTTGCTTTCCTTTAAGGGGTTAAATCGCTCTCAAATGGTTTAACCCAAAGGCTTCCTCCAGCTCCAGGTCGCTCAGTGGTATTTGGCTTCTGAAACAGAGTGTCAAGAAGTGTAGATTGACGTCAGGCATGGGTGCCGCTGATTGACTAGAGTGGACAGTTGACGCTCTAAGCCAATCGCTAGTTCCCGGTTCATAAAATATTTTTACTTTTTTATGAATGGGGAGCTACTGATTAGCTTAGAGTGCCAGCTGACCGCTGTAGCCAATCAGCAAGCCAACGGCACTCTGTGCTTCCTGACACTCAGTAAATAAAAGTGAACACATTAATACTGATATTTTTTTACCTTTGGAGATGAGAAGGTCCAGCGTTTCCCTGCCTGGCCCAGGTACCAAAGCCTTATGATGTGGTGTCCAGAATAAAGTGGAGGGTTTACTTCATTTGTCCTTCCTGCTCCAATCTCCTTCATTTGGCAGTCTTTTTTTTTTTCTTCTGACACTGTTTTCTATCCTTGGCCCCTTCGGCTCTTTTACCTTTCTGCTACTTTCTGCTTATTTAGCGCCCTTCTGCTCCTTTCTCATTCTGATCCCTTTCTGCTCCTTGCAGACCCTTTCTGCTCCCTTTTCTACTTTACCTTTGTGCTCCTTGCTGTCCCTTTCTGCTCTTTCTCCTACTTTACCTTTGTGCTCCTTCTGATTTTTTCTGCTCCTTTACCTTTGTCCTCCTTGCTGTCCCTTTGTGCTCCTTCCTGCTCCTTGCAGGCCCTTCCTGCTCATTCTCCTACTTTACCTTTGTGCTCCTTCTGCCCCTTCTAGCTCATTTCTGACCCTTTCTGCTCCTTCTACTTTACCTTTGTGCTGCTTTACCTTCCAGCTCCTTGCTGACCCTTCCTGTTCATTTCTATATATCTATAGGCTGCTGCCCCCCCAAATCTATAGGCTGCTGCCCCCCTCCCCAAATCTATGGGCTGCTGCCCTCCTCCCCAAATCTATGGGCTGCTGCCCCCCCAAATCTAAAGGCTGCTGCCCCCCACCCAAATCTATAGGCTGCTGCCCCCCTCCCCAAATCTATGGGCTGCTGCCCCTCCCCAAATCTATGGGCTGCTGCCCCCAAATCTATAGGCTGCTGCCCCCCTCCCCAAATCTATGGGCTGCTGCCCCCAAATCTATGGGCTGCTGCCCCCTCCCCAAATCTATGGGCTGCTGCCCCCCTAAAAATCTGTTATGGGCTGCTGCCCCTCCCCTTAAATCTAAGGGCTGCCCTCCCAAATCTATAGGCTGCTGTCCCCCCTAAATCTATGCGGGCCGCTGCCCCTCCCCAAATCCATGGGCTGCTGCCCCTCCCAAATCCATGGGCTGCTGCCCTCCCAAATCTATGGGCTGCTGCCCCCCCTTAAAAATCTATGGGCTGCCCTCCTCAAATAATATATGGGCTGCTGCCCCTCCCAAATAAATATATAAGGGCTGCTGCCCCCTAAATTCATGGGCTGCTGCCCCCAAATCTATGGGCTGCTGCCCCTCCACACAAAATCCATGGGCTGCTGCCCCCCTCCCCCAAATCTATAGGCTGCTGCCCCCTCCCAAATCTATGGACTGATGCCCCCCCCTAAATCTATGGGCTGCTGCCCCCAAATCTATAGGCTGTTGCCCCCCTCTCAAACCCTCCCCCCCCATCCCTCACTTACCTGATCTGTAGGCTGTCTCTGGCTGCATGTGTTGCTCCCCTGCGGTTTCAATCAGCAGAGAGAAGCAGGGATAAGATGCAGCTTCCTATCCCTGTCACTCTCCATACACACCGGCGCCGGTATTGCAGTTCATTTTAAATCTCACACGAAAAATAGCAGAACAAGCTGAAAAATCCAGGGGGGGGCAAGTGCCCCCCCTTGCGGACGCCCATGACAGCGCTACACAGCCATATACTGAACTCCACACATCTATACAGCGCTACACAGCCATATACTGAACTCCACACATCTATACAGCGCTACACAGCCATATACTGAACTCCACACATCTATACAGCGCTACACAGCCATATACTGAACTCCACACATCTAGACAACGCTACACAGCCATATACTGAACTCCACACATCTAGACAACGCTACACAGCCGTATACTGAACTCCACACATCTATACAGCGCTACACAGCCATACACTGAACTCCACACATCTATACAGCGCTACACAGCCATACACTGAACTCCACACATCTATACAGCGCTACACAGCCATACACTGAACTCCACACATCTATACAGCGCTATACACCCATACACTGAACTACACACATCTATACAGTGCTACACACCCATATACTGAACTACACACATCTATACAGCGCTACACAGCCATATACTGAACTACACAGCCATATACTGAACTACACAGCCATATACTGAACTACACACCCATATACTGAACTACACACAGCTATACAGCGCTACACAGCCATATACTGAACTACACAGCCATATACTGAACTACACACCCATATACAGCGCTACACAGCCATATACTGTAAACACAAAAAGAATTCAGCGCTAGTAATCACAAAATTAGTCAAGGTAGGCAGCAACCCAAATGAAGGAAAACCCCTCGGGTCCTTCGGTGGATAGATACAAAAAGATATGGAAGGGCTGCGCCAAATAAGGGTAGATAGTCCAGTAAAGTATTGCTAGGGTGCCAATAGATGGTCTAGGATACTTGATAGAGTTCCTCTGTGGATGCGTCTGGTGTAGACCGTTCCGTATATGTAAATACAAGAGAGGTAGAGGCGACTAATGGTATAGTATGAAAGTTCAGGGTGTGATAGGTAACAAAAAGTAAAGAACTCACATTCAGGAGAGCTATGGCCAGCTCTGGTGTGGATTGCGTACAGCGGTATAATCCCCGCTTATGGGATATGTAGGGAGGGGTCTCCGTCAGCACCGTCTGGTAGTCCAGAGCTCGAAAAAGAAAGACAGAAAGCAACAATAGTGCTCTCAATTTTGATGTGGTTCAATGTGCAGATAAGAAGAGGTAAAAAACTCACATTTGAGGGAGCTATGGCCAGCTCTGGTGTGGATAGCGTACAGCGGTATAATCCCCGCTTATAGGATATGTAGCGGCGATACGTCCGTCAGCACCGTCTGGTGATCCAAGGCTCCAATATAGAAGAATAAAAAGCAGCAATAGTGCTCTCAATTGTGATAGGTTAAGAGAGTAGTAGAGAAAATAAAATAATACTCACAAAGATAGAGCAGAGGTACTGCTCTATGGATAGGCGCCGGTGGTATGATCCCCACCTAGGATTTCTTGGAGTACTGGAACTTTAAAATTGCCAATGGAAGTAAAAGTAACCAGGAAAGGTTAAAATGCCAGGAATAGGTAAAAACAAAATATACAGCCATATACTGAACTACACACCCATATACAGCGCTACACAGCCATATACTGAACTACACACCCATATACTGAACTACACAGCCATATACTGAACTACACACCCATATACAGCGCTACACAGCCATATACTGAACTCCACACCCATATACTGAACTCCACACATCTATACAGCGCTACACACCCATATACTGAACTCCACACATCTATACAGCACTACACACATTTATACAGCGCTACACACATTTATATACCCATATACGCTACACACCCATATACTGAACTACACACATTTATGCAGTGCGCACACCCATATACTGAGCTACACACATTTATGCAGTGCGCACACCCATATACTGAGCTACACACATTTATGCAGTGCGCACACCCATATACTGAGCTACACACAGATCTATCTACCTGTGTGTGTATGTATTTGTATAGCACAAAGAGAGTAAGACCTGCCGCACAACATATGTTTTACAATATACAGTACACCTTTATAGTACAATGCTCACTCATTATTGGAATACAGCTCTACATACCTCTATATTCCTACCAGCACATTTATACCATGACGCACCCTATATAGTAACAAATAAACCCCTTTATATCAAGGCTACATTCTCTTCCCATCCTCACGCTCTTCATTCTATTCCAGTCGCGAGTATGATTTCGAAGATGACTGTGACAGCCTCGCCTGGGAGGAGACAGAGGAAACGCTATTATTGTGGGAAGATTTTTCAGGTTACACAATGTCGGCAATGGAGACACAGGGAGAGGTGAGACCCATTGGACAGATCATAGTCTTGCTAAGATAACGGGCCTTGCACTACTTGTGTTACAACCTACGGATGCAGAAACATGGTTAAAGGACCACTCCACAAGCACTTCAGCTTTTTTTTTTTATATCTATGGAGTTTCTCTTTTAGAAGATGGTTTATAAAAGTGCTGATTTCTTTGAGATATCGGCACTTTTATTATTAGGCGGTCTCCCTGGAGGTCAGACAGCTAGAGAGGCTTTCTTCCTCGTTCCATTAGCTCCCCTTAACGAACGGAAGGGACATGTGCGCTCTACTTGAGTATGCCTGCAGTTCACGCAGACAGACACAGGCGTACAAACAAAACAGATTCAGAGGTTTCTCAAAGGCTGAAGCTATAAGAATTGCATATTTTGCAAGCTCTTTTTAGATATACCCCTGTGACTACATGCATTAAGAAATGCATGTATTCATTGCAGTATATCTACTAAATGGCATTTTAAAGTTTTTATTCTGTGAAGTGTTCCTTTAAGAAAATAAAATGTTTTGCTGTAACCTTATCTACACCTAGCCCTTAGAATGAGATGTTTTCCTCTAATTTGTGTAAGGGTTACAAACTTGAGGTTATTAACCAGAAAGGCCACTTTTAGATCAGTATATCCAACCGGGAAAAATATTTGTACAATTTTTCATATTCTGCCATTTCGGCCTCAAATTTTGAAATTTCAATGTTAGTTATTCTCAGAGAAAACATGGCAGGGCTCAAGCAAAACAAGGAAATATATTAACAGTCTCCAGTCATACCTGTAGCCCCGATCGCTAGTAGGCTGGCGTGAAATCTTTCCAATTAGGAATAAACTGCAGGATCTCCAAAGGGAGAATGCAAAAAATGAGGGGGGGGGGGGACGGGACATCATTGCAATGGATTGTAAGCTTGTTTGAGCAGGGTCCTCATCAACCTATTGTTCCTGTAACATTCCGTAAATTGTCCCATTGGTTGTTAAATTTGCCATTTTATAATATTGTAAAGTTCTGCAGATAGGTTGACGCTATATAAAATAATAATAGCATAAAGAATCTGTGGGGAGCAGTCATAGAATGTGACGGGAGATAAGAACCATTCGGCCCATCTAGTCTGCCCAATTTTCTAAATACCTTCATTAGTCCCTGGTCTTATCTTATAGTTAGGATAGCCTTATGCCTATCGCACACATGCTTAAACTCCTTCACTGTGATAACCTCTACCACTTCAGCTGGAAAGCTATTCCATGCATCCACTACCCTCTCAGACTTGCCACCTAAGGCAAGGTCTAGCCATTCAAAGTATGGTAATAGTGTTTGTTTAATACCTGTGATACTTACATCATGCTAGTGTTTTGATCCAGCTCCTTCTGACTTTGCTTTGCTCACAGATACAATATAATTAATTAAAACCTCACCTGGATTTCTGGGGAGTGGAGGTCAGCTGGACTTTGTGCTTCAATAGGTTTTTTTATGTATCTGTCTATCATTGCTTTCCCTGATTTATTTCACTGTTTGTAATGTTTATCTGTATTTGTATACTCATTTGTGCAATTTTGGAAAGTCAGTCAGGGTTATTCAATAAAGTGAGAATTGTCAGTAATTTAAAGTAAATTTCAAATTTAAGGCCAAAATAGCCAAACTTATAAACATTCTGCTATTCACCCATGTTTTCAGTTTGATTATTTTAGCCTTAAATTTAAAATTTACTTTAAATTGCTGACAACTCTCAGACAGTGTGCACTGGTGTCCTCGTTTCACAGGCCTGGATGCAAACATGGTAATTCGGTAAAGTGAGAATTTGCAGGAATTATAAGTGAATTTTAAGTTGTAGGCCAATCTAACTGAATGAGAAAAAAAAAAATCTCAAAGTCAACTTTGTTTTTAATTCAGCTATTTTGGCCTTCAGTCTGAAATTTGCTTTGATTTCACTGTGATCTCCCGGTAGATAACACGGACATGAAAACAAATTAGTTCTGGGGCAAAGTGTGGAAGCCAGGGCAATGAGCTGGGACCTCGCCTGCGTTCCGTGCTGATTACACCACTTGTAGTGTGTTTAGTACTTTACCCTCCATTGACTCTGGCTAAATAGCCCTGTTTTCCCTTTTCACTCTCACCGAAGGATACTTACTCCAGTTATCAGCAGAATCTGTTTGCCTAAACCTTTACTCAATAACCATATGTTTTCTGAACTTTGCACTCCTAACTATCTTCTCTGCATCCTTTGGCGCACCATATTAATCTCCAAAAATACCAAATGATATTGGTCTCCAACACTGTCCCTTTAAAAGGACAGGGTCCCAGTCTCTTGGTGACTTAATAATCTCCTGCTTGTCCCCCTGTGAGGATGTTGGTGCTGGCTGAGGCTGATGGGTGTTATGTTTGTATGCACATTTGTAATACGTTAGTAATTACTGGGTGCGCTGAACATAACTATTAAGATATTATGAATAAAAGAGAGATAACAGGTTTAATTAATAAAAGGTAACGTCAGTAGATATTTTACTCTGAATATATATCTTGCATTCTCTGCATTTGTCCCATCCCCAAATATTTCAGTGGGTTTACAGCTGAATCACCTCTCAGCCTTTTCCAATAAAACATTTTAATAAGCTTCGTAGTCTCCCTCCCTCCCCAGGAAATCATACAACCTAATATGGACCTGTCTTTTATTCAAATTTTCTATGAATGGGAGCTAGATGTTTAACCCCCCCTAACTACAACCGTTTATTATAAAAGACCTCACCTTCCTGGTCTCACCTGAGCTGAGCCTTGTAAATGTATTTCTACCAGCTGCTTCCTCAGTCGGTCTCTTTCACACATGTTATGTCCATTGCTGTCTCACAGTACAGTACACTTTTACAGTGCTGCCAACCAGAACAGCCAGGGTGTTTGTGGGTGGAAGCAGGATATATTTTATAACGGGCAGACTGTCATGTTCTTTGATACATAGATGAATGCTTTTAGTATATAAACATTGTGTTTACATTTTTCTGGTATTTTGGGGACGTCAGCAGCTTCCTCTCAAATTCCCATTGGCAAAACATCACATTTTATATTGAAACCACAGTGTCAGATCTACTCTATTTCAAATTGGTATTTTCCCTTCTGCTTAACGGACCTTTATAACTCAATGAAGTGGACTGGGTGCGTGGGTACTATAGTTGTAACCTGCAATTAGAACACTGACATCTAACCCTGCAATTAAAACATTGCTGCATCTACTAAACAGTAACACACCTCTATTAGCTATCTTCCTGGTGGCCACTAGAGGGTGCTTCCGCTGCAACCACGAGTAGGCTCTATTCTTCAATCAGTGCTGTGTTTTGCCACGCATGCTCGTATAGAGGTAAACATTTCTGTTACTTTAAATGGTGGCTGAAAATCTGAATTCATTGCGCATACAATAGGAATAAAAATATAAATAAAATAAAATCCACTAACGTATTTTGCTATGAATTTATTTTTATTGAGCATCTATCTTCATTTTGTTATTGTTATATTTTTGCAACCCTTAACATTTTAATGGATTAGCTGCTAACTGCCTTTATCTTGTATGTACATGCTTACTCTAGTACATGTGACGTGATCCCATCATTAGTGTCCCCTTGATCTATTTTATTCCTCTTTTGATGTCTCAGACACAGGAAGATAGTCTGGAAGAGGTGATCAAAGACACTGAATCTCTTTTCAAGAGTCGAGAAAAAGAATATCAAGAAACTATCGGTCAGATTGAGGTGAGAGACACAGATGACAGGACATTGTTGTCTTGGCTGTTGAGCAGTGATGGAAGGTCCTTACTGGAAATGCAGAAGATTGATTAAGGCCGAGGGTTGTTATTTATTGACCACAGACTGGCCTTAAGCAGTGATTTATTGGTCATCATTTTAGCCAGAAACTTGTGAGTAAATCTAAGGTAGGTATGGTAAGCAAAGGGCTTCTTAACTTAAGGCCCAAAGGTGTCTGCAGAACCAGTGGAATTCAAAGATTATCAGTATTCGGTCTACATACATCATGTATACATGCTTTTTATAGATCCTCAAATATATTTGAAAGCCACATATACAAACATGTTGGATCAAGCTGAAGCCATGACCTCAACTACTAAATCACCAAAAGGACTAAGTGTCTTTAATGCTAGTGACAGACTGGTTTGGCAAACATATATACATCAAATCCCAAACCCGAGTACTTCAGAGAATGTGAAACTGTGTTCATAGCAAAATCTGAAACCAAGAATGTATTTCATTTCTTTTTCAGTGCATGTAGTAACAACAGATAGTTGATGTTTTTGTGTGATTGATTTATAGATAGTATAGAAAGTGTGTGCATTGAGGAGAGATTTATTTCCTTTCAGTCATGGTTCAATCTTGTCTCACTAGGCTTTATATTTGTGTTTCTTTTGGACAACAAAACTATAGTCTGCTCGATGGACCCATATCTTAATACATCACTTGGTTGCTTCACCACATTGTTATGGACCTTGGTGGTAGAATAATACTGATTTCTCTGTGATTTACAGCTGGAACTAGCCACAGCTAAGGATGATATGACCCGCCACCTTCACGAATACATGGAAATGTGCAGCATGAAGAGGGGACTAGATGTGCAAATGGAGACCTGCCGAAGACTTATCAATCAATCTGAAGATAGGTGAGGCTGCTCTCAAGCATCCGATCAGACAAAGCAGATGGGGCACATATGTCAATAAAAGGTGGCCAGGTGGCAGGGTATATAATCTCAGCAAAATTCCAAGATTAGCTGTCAGAGTAAAGGTAAGAGATTTGCCGACCAGCCAGAAAGACCATATGTGACCACTAGAGTTTAGTCTCTCAGAAAGAGTTATGGTCAAAGACTAGTCATCCAGTCAGAGCACCGGTCACTGGAAAGTCCACTGTATTTGACAGATTCATATTTGACCTTCTTTCTTCTTAGATCTCCACCTCCCAGTAGCGAATCTAACTGTAATGAAGACCCAGAGGATTCTGACCGAGATCCCCCTTCTTCTGACAGCTCAGCAAGATGATTGGGGGCCAGAATCTACCTCTTTAAACACCCTGCTTCTCCACCACTGCCTTCCAGACTGTACCACTGAGCGTATAGCAGGGTGTTTACCGTCCTAAGACTTTTGGGGTGCTAAGCTTACAGATGTTGGGTCTATACGGGAATTCTAGAATAATGTGTGAGTGTGATATATATATATATATATATATATCTCAATACATTTTTCTGTCAGCCAGTAGATATATTTAGGGGTAAAAAAATTGTCAGAATATATACACATATAGAGAACGAAACTTCACCAGGACATTTCTGGGGTACTGTACAATTCTGAAAAAATATGGGGTGCAAATCTCACATAAACTTTTTATACACATAGTATGGGGCTGTCAGGTACCCGGTATATACTGGACATAGTGTTATCAGGCACTAGGTACATATGGTGGTATGGTATTGACGGTCACTGGGTATATACGGAGTATAGTGATGGTATATATGGTGTTTGATGCTGGCAGGGCCTGGGTTTATATGGAGTGTGGGGAATTCAGGAAATGGGCCTTCATAGTATGTCACACAGTGAGGATGTACAGAGTATAGTAGGTACTGTTCGCCACATAGTACATATTGATTATGGAAATGCTAGTTTGGGTATATATAGGGTTAGGATACTTTCAGGTACTGGTGGGGTAAATCTCTATCAGACAAAAGATATGAGGGTAGTTTTATATAGAGACTTTCTATATATGTGATAGGCTGCTGTCCCGCAGGCGGTATATAAATGCATATTATGGTTATACAGAAAGTATATATGGTGCAGTTTGCTGTTATACAGCTTGTATATACAGGGCAGTCTGATATTGGGGCTGGATATGCTAGTAGGTAGCCAACCAATAGGCACCTATCTGCTAGGCTACTTTGACGCTATAAATGTGCATTTTTCTTGGGGGAAGTCGGAGGTCTAAGATTTAGAAAAAACACACAGAACTGGTTTAGGGGAACATGAGAGCTTAGCCTGCACCACGCCCAACCCAAACCCATAACCTGTTCACTGAATTCCATTATGATACCAAATCTTGGAATTCAGAGTATTATATAACCCTACATTGATAGACTCCACGCCTACTGTATTAATCGTGCACCAGGCTGTACTAACCACAAACCTGCAGACAGTGCTAAAACCCTGCACCCACTGCATTAAAACTATGCATCCACTGCATTAAAACCATGCGCTCATTGCAATAAAAACATGCACTCATTGCATAAACTATGCGCCTGCTGAATTCAAACCCTTCACCCACTGCAGTACTTGCACACTGTGCCGCTAAGTTAACTCAAAATCTGGTGTTGGTTTCTCTCTCAGTATTACAGGACATGCCAGGCTAGCAATGACAGGGTGCCAAAATCAGACCTGGTGATTTTTTTACCCCCACTTTGGGTTCTAGCCCAGGTCATCCCCTAACTCGCCCGCCACCCCTCCCCCCCCCCCTATTAGCAATGACCCTGATCTCGTATATTGGCCACTGTCAGACAGTGTGGATGGATGGATGAAGAGGTAGGTAGGTAGGTAGGTAGATAGATAGATAACTATCCAACACCTTATGTGGTAGTTTGAGTCTACTCCTTGGGCATGGTATCCTGCTTTCTAAGGGGCACATGGGTGTAAGTACCACAATGGAGGGGCTCTTCCACTTACATTTCTGTATGTTGGGCAGAGAGCAAGTTGCTACCTGGCTCCCACAGACTTCTATGCAGATTGCGTAGTAGGTGGGATTACAGTCAGTAGTTCAACCAATCAAATTGTAAAATAAACGCACAAGCTGGTAAGTATATGGGCGTCTGTGTGTGCACTGACCGGACATTGGAGTTCTGTAAGGACAAGGAAGACAATATAAATGGCTCTGCGAAAGTTATAGGTAGTGTACAGTCAGACAGTGGGTGCATATGGAGCCAGTCGGTGTGTATATATAAGGGGCAGATTCATGTTCGAGTGCAGGTAAATATGGTTTAGGTTATGGCCAAGTATGGGGTATGTATGGGCAAACTTTGTCCTGCAACTGTTTATGTATGAAATGGTTATTCACACACTGGGTGTATATGGGTAATCTAAGGCATAGCACTGAGTATAAATTGGGTGCATATGGACAGATACTAGGTATATGGGCAAATGTGTGGACTGGCACAGGGTATATATGGGGTATGTTGCAGTCAGATGCTGGGTATACATATTGGATGGGGCTAAACAAAGTGCAATGCTGCCAAACATTTTAAGAATATATATGGGTTCGATGCTTGGATATAGCTGCTGAATGCTTGTGGGTTTGGTTTTTCATGGGATTTATCTCATGTATATATTAGCAAGTAATGACAAAATATTTCTTTCTTCGAAGATATTGACAAAGCTATAGTTTTTTTTTTATCTTTAGCCAGAAAAGCCAGTTGATTTGTAAATGAAAAGCGATAAAAGGCATGTGTATAGATTCTATGGATTTATGCAATTAAAGTGTATATAAAGAGCTCTAATAATACAGATCTATATATTATGTCCGCTGACTACTCGTTATTTTCCAAATATTGATTCTGGGGTTATGTTACAATTACAATTACTGACATGAGTGGTGCACACATTATTGACAATGCTGAACACAAATCACAATACAGTCCCGATACAAGAACAGACCATAGAATTTTGGAGTCTGGCCTGACCATTCTAACCGTTCGGCAGTTGGTTTAAAGGTCTCGCTCAAAGCAATAACAAACAATAACCATAAAATCTCAGGTTATTGGGTGCAGGGTCTTAAGTTATTGTATAGTAAACTAAAACATATATTGTCATGCAAGTCCCTGCCATCAGAGAGATTAAATGGAACTCTTGAAATGAAGATTAGTTTATGCTGCAGGTTAATTGACCTTTTCTGATGAAGTTGAGTGCGGAACATCTGAGCATGGGACAATGATTTAGATTAGGTATGTACAGCATTCCCAATGAAAATAATAAGATGGTTAGGATGGGCTGACACCTTGGCAGGTACATTGTAGTCTTAGCATAGATAACTGCAAGAACCTTCAGACTGTGGTGATTTGTGGCAAATGCAAGAACTTAAAAAGGTGAGTGATCTTTCTTGCGGTTTTAATTATTTGTTTATATGTGTTTTTCTTCATAATGCATTGAAAACAAGGGGATTACAACGTCGACCTGGAGTGTCCATTGAATTCAATGTGGTCAAACCCTGCCATCATAAGCTTACACTCCAGGCACCCAGATCACGTCTGCACATTGAAGTGGTCTGGGTGCCAACTCCCACCACCCTTAACCCTGCAAGTGTAATTATTGCAGTTTTCATAGACTGCAATAATTACCTTGCAGGGTTAAATTCTGATAGACAGCCACTAGAGGGACTTCAGTGTTCTTAGAACACAAAAGTGTTTTAAACGACGTTGGACGTCCTCGCGCTATGCATGAGGACCTCTGGCATCCCCATAGGAAAGCATTAAATAATGCTTTCCTGTGGGGAGGTCTCTAGTGTGCGGCCATTGCCGCGCATGCACATTAGGTCTCCCCTGCCGACATAAGGAGTGTGGGCAAAGCGCTGGATTCAGGTAAGTCACTGAAGAGGTTTTTACCCCTTCAGCAACATGGGGTGGGAGGGAGAGGGGCACTGCAGAGTCCTGTTTTCCTGGCACTAGATAGTTCCTTTAAATAGACATCCTTAAAATAATACAACTTTAAAAAAAAAATTATAGCTATGATTGTTGTACCACAATTTGGATCCTCTGAAACCTTAAAAAGGCACAAGACAATTACCAGGCCCTGGCAAGCTGACAACACTAAAATGGTTAATGTAACAACACTGCCTTACAAATTGCAATGGATTCAATACCCCTCTAATTCTGGAAAGACACTATTAGGGAATATATATGGGTATATTTTTGTGTGTTATGTAATTGTTGATGAATGGTGCAATAGGGTAAGTTTAAAATTGAGCAATGGATCATTAAGATAATGGTGTGTATGGTATCTGAGTAACTGTCATGAGAGGATAATATGAGTAGAAAATAAAAGTTCTACCAGCTGGCTGGGTCTATGAAAAAAAAAAAATGAATCGGCAAGTTTAGCATAGGAGAGACGCCCCCGGAGTCCTAGTTTAATGCATACATCAGTCCATTCATTTGTTGTTTACCTCAACACCCTAACTTTCTATAACAATACTGGCTATGTTACTACAGTGTTTGTGTAAATATAACAATGTAACTATTACACCTAGAGTGTGCACTTAAAGTGGTTATAAAATGCAGTCAGGAAAATAAATCATAGTATGGATGGGTAGATTGTCCCTATCCCTGGGTTACCATGGCAACAAGATGAGTAATAACCTTGACCAAGAAGCGAGGGAGTGGGAGCCATTACCACAGCAACATTGAAGGTGTAAACGAAGCACTACTACTCATTGTAGTGGTTGTGGTCTTGAAATATAGTCTCCTGTCTATGTATCAGATACTGGTGGTCAGACCACCTCACTGGAATGTATCCCGGGACAAGTCACTAAAGATATATCTGCATACCTGGAAGGGGAATTTGAGGCAAAAAGTTGATTCTTTGTTAAGAAAGTTTGAATATGCCCACCCCAAATCCCTTGCAGTAGTAACAGAACTGCAAATGTGAGTTTTCTATGGGAAAAGCAAGCCTTTTGGCCAGTTTGGTGTGTGCAGATCTGTGTAACAATGCATTTACTATTCACCTCAAGTCTTCATAGATTGTAAGCTTGTTTGAAGAGAGCCGCCTTCGCATCCCCTTCAAATTATTTTAAATTGCAATCATAGCCTGAGTTTGCTTGTGGCCTGTTAGACCACCTCCAGCAATCACGGATGTCCATGGTTATATGGATAATTCAGTAATTTACTAATCATTGAAAAAAAGAAGATAATAGGCGCTCACTATAGTGAACAGGCAGCAGTATATACACAAGGATTCCCAAACCTTGTAAGTGAATAGTGAAAAAAGGAAAACGTATACCGCGCCTAATTTATATATGTGAAATATACTAATCATTAGCTGAGCCACAACACAGGAGGGGGTGTGGGCTTTGTATACCAGGAAAGCCTAGTTTGTCTATCTGCCTAAGATATGATTGTGTGCTGATCCCACTGGCATTCACACTGCATAGTTGTTACCATGGAAACCAGGAAGTCATCACTGCAGTAAAACCTCAAGAGACTGCCAGAAGTATCACAGCTCATGGAGACAGTTGCTGGGATTGGTAAGAGTTGCCAATTTACTGCTTAACAAATTGGTTCTTTTCTCTTAATGTCATTTAACTAGCATAATACACTACCAACTCTCCACACCTTAGTAAAGGTTAGATATGATACAATACTAGATATTAAAATAAAAAAAAAAAAAAAAGTACTTTCACCAAGTGATCTGCTGGACACATTTTCTTTGGTAAAAAGGGAACATGTTCTCAAATATTTATGCCCTGAATCCCTGTCCATTTTTGAGAAGCTCTATATATTGTGTAACAGCTCCACAATTTCTTTAAGCAATAGATTTTTGGAAATCAGTCTATAAATATGGTTCTAAGTTACTAATTTATACAACTAAAATGTAAGTCATCTAAAAATTTCAGGACAGCACCTCTCTACACAACATTAAAATGTCCCTCTTACTCTATTTGAAAGGCTGCCCAGGGCAGGGAAATAGGATGGTCCAAAGCAACGAATGGAAGAAAGGGGAGATGGAGAGTGTGTATATATATATATATATATAGGGCTGCCTCAACTAACCTATAGCAGAGGTGCCCAAAAGGTAGATCCCAGATGTTTTAAAACTACAGCTCCTGTGAAGCATTGTCTTTCTAAAAGCATCAAGGGAATTTTAGTTCTACAACATGTCAGTCTACCTTTTGGGCACCCCTGACCTATAGCATTAAAGTCCCATGCTTTGAGGTCTACAGAAATTAACCCAGGACCTGTCCAGCACAACTCCCCCAAAAAAAAAAAAACCCACATTTTTGAAATAGCATCACTCAATTGTGGGATACCGGCTATAAAGCATGACTTATGCACAGACCTGCAAGAATGTTTTTAGAAGGGTTCTGCTTGGAAAAATCCCATTGAATACAGTTTACACTTTTGAAACTATTGTTAACTGACCCAACTTGCAAATATTAAGGTTAAATTATATTTCATCAATTTTGACCTAATATTTGAATTCTCTTTAATGGTATTAGTCCTGGGTGGCAACTCTTCATATTGTGTGAGTAAGGCCAGTTCAAAGCCTACCTACTTTACATTATGCCTGTTGCCCCCCCAGTTTTATATTCCCTGTGCAGTTTATAGTGCTGTGTACTTAAACTACACCATGTCAAAAAAAATAAAAAAAAGCCAGTGAGGTCATTATAGGATTGGCAACTGATGAATCTACAGACTGGACTGAGCCTACTCTTCACATGCTGTTACAAAAGGTCACAGGCCTACAGTTACAGAAATCTGAGGGTGGAGGAGACATTTGCCCACTGTCTAAGAATGAGCTCCATCAGCTGCTTCACAAGATGTCTCAAGTGTTCTACTCCTAACATTTGAGTCCCACTGCCATTTTAGCTGATCAGCAAGTAATAGTTAAGCGTTTAAACTCTAGCCCGTGTCCTTTGCCAAGAGAAAGGCTAAGTAATTTTTCATTTTAGGGGTATAATACAAGCTGTAAGTTAGAGTTGCATTCCATACTTGCCATTATGCATTTGTTTTTAACCTGCCACATTAACCCAACATATAAAACACTTTGTTTAAGAACACAAAGTCCCTCTAGTGGCTGTCTGATAGAGGGCCATCTTGAGGCTTGTCAACACTGATCTGATTGATTTTTTAATAGTCAACATTTAACCCATTGAGAGCCACTCTACACCAGTGTACCACCATCTCCCAAAACTAGAACAGGATAACCTGGCATAGCAAGCATAACCTTATTCCATTCAAGTGACATGCTCCCAGCAGAGAGTAGGTACCCTGCCAGAGTGATTGCTTCTTAGGTTTAGCAAGTACATTCAGAGACAGTGCATTATGTGACAGTACTACAGCTAGGAAGGAACATGTTGAGTAGCCCACTATCCTCCACAGACTGAGACCCATAAGAGAGACATTTCATTAATTTTGTTACAATTTTATTATGCAGAAAATGGACACAGACGGACAAGCTAGTGAGGGTGACTCTGGGGCCCTACAGTGACAATACCACTAGGTGAATTGGGGACCCACAGTGACAGGAAGGAGGTCAATAGGTGATATTCTATTCCTTGGAGAACATGTGAGTTATGAGATCCAGCACACGGTTACTGTATCCAAATTCATTGTCATACCTGCAGGAGACAGAATGTTAAAGTTAGAAATGCTGTACTTTAGATTCACCAAAATAGTTTGTGCTAACAAAGACTCCAGTGCCAATGTTGAAGGGGTTAAAACCCTTTCAGTGAACTACCCGAATCCAGCACCGATGTCCCTTGGTGGTCAGGCTCCACCTTTGAAGAGATCTAGCACACATTAGACCTCCCCATAGGAAAGCATTATTCAATGCTTTTCTATGGATTCTGGCTCTGGAGGTCCTCCTGCATAGCATGAGAATGTCCAGCTTAGTTTTAGACACTATTTGAAGAACACAAAATCCCTCTAGGGGCTGCCTGATGGTGCCATCTTGAGGGTTCTGTCAACACTAATCTGTTTTTTCCACTAGTTTAGTTGCACATATACAATGTGGCATCAGAGCTTAACCTGACAATACAGTAGGGTTCTAGTGTAACCGTGGTGGTTCCCTTATTTACCACTATAACGTCTTAAAGCATAGAACTTAGTAGGGCTAACCATACAGATATCTTAGCCATAATTTTATATAGTGTAAGATCCTCTATTTAACATATATAAATAATTGAGAATACAATATAAAATAAGGATTGTCTTGGAAGCAAGATTGTCTTTTTGGATATTATATAAAAATATAAAATCCATTATAGCAGAGTTTATAAGATTAAATTACATGCTTGCAAATATCATTAATAGGTTAACATACCCTTCTGAACATGTCATCATGTCAGCCTCTCTGTCATTTTAAGATGGAGCAGCATCTGTCTCCAAGTCTCTCCTCTGTGTCTTAACATTTTAAAATTACACCTATTTATACCAGGTGTCGTCATTTTAGGTTACTGTAGTTCAAATATGAAAAAGTAACACCTTTTACTTTATTCAATTTAGGACCTCCCTTAATTTGGCAAACATACAAGGCCATAACTAAAGAGTGTATAAGTCATGGAAATTTTCCTGACTTAGTTCAAGATGGCATCTTAAAGTCTGAATAGGTTATCTGTTGTTTATACTAAGTCGTAAGTGTACAGTCGTGGGAGATTCCTGGATTTGGGGAAATTCCATTAACTTGGGGTTACCACAGTATACTGCAAGAGTCGTAGCATAGCCTTGAAGCTTGTTTATGCATTATTGTTATTGTAATTCGTCTGGGACAAAATGGCGCAAACATATTATGCACTGAGGTTATTGCTTAAAGAACCAGTTATGAAAAACAATATGTTCAATTTCTAACACCTTGTCAGTTTGCAATATCTCTTAAAGACAAAGTACACAGTTTAAGAAATACAACATTTCATTCTAAAACTTGTAATATTTGCATTTGCCCGTAACACTAGGGTAATCATATTCTGCAGCATTAGGAGCACAGAGTATAAAGAACATACTTTAATACATGGTGATGCCATAGTTTTTATATGCTCTTATTTTAAAGGACACTACACATCCCACCTTGGACCTAAAAACCATTGAGCACAAGGCAATCGGTTATCCATTTATGCTAGAGATAAGACTTTCACATACTTACCAGGAGATCAGCTTCACAAAGTGATCATTCAGAGCAATACCAGCACCAGCATCAAAAATGGATGAACGTATATCGCCATTGAAGTCAGTGGAGACAACCTGCAAGAGGACATACAGTGAGGGTTGTTCAGAACACAGAAGTTGCTTTGAGAGCGGTCCAGCCACCACACTCTTAACCCACCTGATCTTCAGTGTAGCCGAGGATTCCCTTCATGGGTCCTTCAGCTGCAGCCTTAACAGCAGCCTTGATAGCTTCATATTTGGCCTATACAAGAAGAAATTCTTTAGAACATGGTCAGAGAATTTGTAGTAGAGGAAGAAGTTTAAAATCCACATGACTACTCACTGGCTTTTCCAGGCGGACAGTCAGATCCACTACAGACACATTTGGTGTGGGAACACGGAATGCCATTCCAGTAAGTTTTCTGAAAGGGAAAAGTTTGTCAGAGTATGGAAAGTGTTAGTTGTCAGACTATGCACAACTGAAGCAGAGCCTCACCCATTCAGCTCTGGGATGACCTTGCCAACAGCTTTTGCTGCACCAGTTGATGCGGGAATGATGTTCTGCCCAGCGCCTCTTCCATCACGCCACAGTTTGCCAGATGGTCCATCCACTGTTTTTTGGGTGGCAGTGAAAGCGTGTACTGTGGTCTAGAGGAAGAGTATGGAGTTAGGCGTGACAGACTGTAGAGTATGGCAGAGTTACAACCAGAGGGAGAAGCTAGATACTCACCATCAATCCTTCAACAATGTGGAAGTTGTCATTGATCACCTTGGCCAGAGGAGCCAGGCAGTTAGTGGTGCAGGAGGCATTGCTGGAGAAATAATGGTTAAAACTTGAGTCAGCTACAAAACACTAGTGCTCAAGAAGACAGTCTGCAAGGACAAGAGTAGAATATAATTTGTAAGAAATGGCACAGAGCCTCAAAGTGTTACCTGACAACTTTAAGGGAATTGTCATATTTTTCGTGGTTTACACCAATAACAAACATGGGAGCATCAGCGGATGGAGCGGAGATGATCACTCGTTTTGCACCACCCTTCAAGTGAAGCTGTGGGAAAGACAGCTGTAAATAACTGCTATTACAGGAGGAGGTTCTGAAGACATATTGAACAGATACTCACAGAGGCCTTCTCAATGGTTGTGAAGACACCAGTAGACTCTACTACATAGACTGCACCTGCATCGCCCCATTTAATGTTGCTTGGGTCCCGTCTAGGGGAGAATTATTATTATTTTTTTTAAGTTAGTTTTAGTACATTAGGTTGTTGTAAAGAACAAGGCAATAGAATATTAAAACTTACTCTTGGAAGACCGTAATTGCATGACCATTCACAACCAGTTTTCCATTCACTGCTTCAACAGTTCCCTTGAAGTTTCCATGGGTAGAGTCATATTTAAACATGTAAACCTGGTGTTGAAAAGAAATACAAGTATGAGTTGCAGGATGGGGAAATACCAGTTCTTGTATAAGAGCCTGTAAAGCATTTTGTAACAGGATGCATCAGTGCCCAATTCCACTCACCATATAGTCTAGGTCAATGAATGGGTCATTGATGGCAACAATGTCAATCTTTCCAGTGAGGAAAGCAGCTCTGGTCACCAGACGGCCAATACGACCAAAACTAGAGGAGAGAGTAATACGCAAGTATGGACATTTTAGTATGTTTGTAATGCCAGCTACACAGGAGTTTACAAATATAGCTAGCTAATAGTATCTCATCCTGCAGCCATGTGAGGTATAAAGCCAGGGGTTTGTTTTATTGCAGTGGCTGGCATGCAAATCACTAGGAGGGCATAACATCAGTAAGCCAGAGTGGCATTCTGTCATTTATTCATGCTAGTGTTTGATAATGTGGGATTTACAGTCAGACTTCTTAAAACATGATCCGCCTCCTTGGTGACAGAATTGCCGATTTAGCCAATCCAATGCTTTCCCATAGGAAAAGCATCGGATTGGCTGAAGTTGGCAGGCAGGATGGGGTCCAAATGTTTTAGCCAATTAGCACCTCAGATACATTGATTCTATGCATCTGAGGACAATTCAGCATCCCCATGCAGAGCATGGAGATGCCAAACAGCAATGCTGCCTATTTGGCAGCACTGCCCCAGGAAGCACCTCTAGCAGCCATCTGAGGAGTGAAAACACTGCCTTTGCATGAAACAGGCAATGTTTATACTCACCAGAACTACATTAAGCTGTAGTTCTGGTGACTAGAGTGTCCCTTTAACATTTACTTGGTTAACATTAAAAAATAAAATCCATAACAATAGAAGGTAAAATTAAATTCCCCATCAGATAAACAGACACCCAAGTGAATGAAAGCTTTGTTCTGCAGTTTGAAGTGGCATAGTTTAGGCTGAAAAATGCAGTGTTATCAAATTAAGATCATTCTTCATTTATTGATGTGATTAGGTATTCACAATGAGATTCCATGAACTGTTTATTCTGCAGCATGTCCATCTTCAATGCAAACATATTGTGCAGGAATGTCCTGGCTTGGGCCAGTCTACAGACATTGCTCTCCCATTCAGAGACAGGCAGCTGTTATTCTAGTGTAAATCCTCTGCATAGCCATGCCCACACCCCCTCCCAAGGAACAGCACCCATCAGGTGCAAAGGTTGGGCTGAGCAAGCAAAACTAGGACAAACAGATACCCTTCAAAGGGTGAGAACAGAGCGTTCAGACAAATTACA